CCCCTGCCTCTCTCTCTCTCTCTCTCTCTCTCTCTCTCTCTCTCTCTCTCTCTCTCTCTCTCTCTCTCCACCTTCGCCTGACCTCTTCCCTCGTACTCCACCCAACTTCTACGCTTCCCCCTCCTTCCCTTTGCCCTCACTTCGCCGGACCTCTCAATGCCGTCGGTCCTCTGCCTCCCGTCGTCCTCCCAACCTGCTCCTCTTCAACCTCGGACCTCCCTCCAACCGACCTTCTGCCCTCCGTTTCCGCCGACGTCCTCTACCTCTCCCACCTCCCTCCGACCTCCCTCCCACCGACCATCTCCCTCCGCTTCCTTCTTCGCACAATCTCCGCCTAACCTCCTCCCTGCCCGGATCTCCTCCCTTTCCTTCCTCCGCCCTATCGCCACCTTCGCCTGCGATCTGCTCCTCCTCCTTCCTCCGCCCGATCTGCACCTGACCTCCTCCCTCCATTCCTCCCCCCGCCGACCTCCGCCGACCTCCTCCAGCTTCCCAACATACCTCCGTCCTTCTTCCCCCCGACCACCTCCCTCCCCTTACTTTCTTCGCTCAGTCTCTGCCTGACCTCCTCCCTCTCCCTTCCTCCGCCTGACCTGCGCCCTCCCCCTTCCTTCCTCTCCCCGTTCCCTTTCCTTCCTCTCCACCTGACGTCCTCCCTCCATTCCTTCCCCTTCACCCTTCCACCTGCCTCCGTCCTTCCTCCATCTGGCCGGCCTCCCTCTTCCGTAGTGCCCGCCCTAAGCATCTCCATTTTTTTCTTTTTCTGATGGACGTCAACGCTGCATTCTTTTCAAGATCCCAATAACGGTGCAAGTGCGCAAAAGAGAGGGAAAGGAGACACACACATTTCCCCAACACTTTCCTCTTCCAAGACATCCTCATGCTCTTCCTTCCTCTTCGCGCTCTTCCTTCCCCGCACCTTCACGGTATATTTTTTTCAACAGTTCACGCTCTTCCTCCCCTATCCCCTACACCTGTCTCTTATACACATCTAGATGTGTATAAGAGACAGTAGTAGTACTATGGCTGTTGTCGTTTGGGGTATGCCTACCTGGGAGCTGAATGGTGCACAGTAATATACGCACCTACTGTAGCAGTGTTTTTTTTTTGTTTGAACCTAGCTGTGATAAATAACAGCCCATGATTTCAAACTTCAAGTCCTGTTCTCAGTAATACTCAAGGGGGCTGTCCCCTGTGTCGAAGTGAAAAAAAGACGAAAAGAAAATCTAGTTTCTTGTCACTGGTGAAGAGTGTGTGTGTGTGTGTGTGTGTGTGTGTGTGTGTGTGTGTGTGTTTATGTCGAGTGTGAAGATGTAATTAGCAATCTGTGTGACTATTGTTTTATGCAAGGAAGATCGGTAGGCCCTCCGTGCACGAAGAACGGAAATCTCAGCTATGGCGACGTCACATGCAGTCTGGAGAGGTTCACACGAGATGCAAAGTAGGGCAGGACACCGCAAATTGTGTGCCGCGCACGAAGAATGAAATATATTAACTTTAAATAAGTAACATGTCATCTAACTGTGTTCCCCGACAGGTATGGAGATCGGTTCTTGTCGGCTGCTTATGCGCGAAACAAAGGCAACTATACTGTTGTGACACAATTTGTGGTGGGTTAAAAGCCCTGCGACAGTGCGAAGGGTGGGTGTTGCAGTCATGGCAGAAGCATCCTCTTGGGGAGAAGCAGGTGGGGACATGGCTCATGGAGATGGAGATGGAGATGGAGATGGAGATGCTCTATCCTGGATGGATTTCAGCTCTAAGGAATTTGTCAAGGAGTATCGGGAGATCGAGAGGCTGGCCGCAGCCGTTGATCCCGAAACAGAGCCGTTCAGATCAAAATATAAAGCGATGGAACGTCTCGAGGCTTTGCAAAGGAGGGCGGCATGGTATGCTGCGCCTGCGCAAACAGTAGACGAGGGGAAGGAGACGTCTCAATCTGCTCGGGAGGTGGAAGAGGCCAAGGATATGGTTGCACTGCTGGATCAGAGAATAGGGGCACTTGCAGTCGACACGGAACAGCTGGGGCTTGCACAGAGATCACTGCTATTGGCAATTGAGAGGTTAAAGACGAACGAAGATCGGCATGCAGAAGTCTTGCAGCACTCGTATAACCTCCTCGGAGTGATCTGGTCAAACAGGAATGAACATCAAAAAGCGGAGGCCTATCTCCTTGAAGCAGAGAGAATTTATAAGCATCATTCCCCCGGGCGTTCTGTTTCATCGCATGTTGCCGACCGGGGTGTGTTGCTCCCCTTCTATGTTGACGACCTCGATTCCTGCCTTCCAACCGCTTGTGGCGATGGACAAACAGAAGCTTCGGCAGCAGCCCCTGTCATTCAGAATGGCGTGGTCAATCAAGACGAGACCGGTGAAGCAGCAGCACCAGCATCAGAATGCAGTCGTATGCCAAGTTCCACTATGGAGAGTAGTAGGGAAGGCCATGAAGACGTAGTAGTAGCCAATAAAACCCCTGAAGGGCCTGAACCATCAAAAGGGTCCAATCTTAGAGGGCCCAGTGACCCCCAAAACGAAGTGCTGGGTAGCGGTGACCGTGATTCGTCGATAGGGAGGATGGTGGGGACCACGGAAATGGGTCGACCGTGCTCGATCCATGGCACCTCAGAACATCTTCTTCCTGATGAAAGAGGATCTTCCGTTGAAGAAGAGAAGGCATCAGATGGGGGGAGCAATAGGGGTAGCGAGGAAGGGAAGGGGGGGGAGAGGACGCCTCGGCAAGGAGTAGCAGACCAAACTGTTAAAGCTGGAAAGCAGTTGTCTCAGAGAATGGAGATTCTGTACACCTTGACAGCGTTTTACCTGGCACAGGTGTATGAACGTCTGAACGAGACGAGGAAAAGTGCGGCGTACTGCATGACGACACTGAACCGTCAGCTGGAGTATGGAGACACGTTTGAATGTCTCGAGTGGGTGAGGAATTGTACTCAGCTAGCTGAGTTTTACACTCAAGAGGGGGAGTTGAGCAACGCATTGTATTGCCTGTCAGCTGCTCAGGCAGTTCTAGCGAAGAACAGTGGCGAGTTCTCGAAGTCGGGTTTCTCTGCAGTGGATGCAGAAGCAAACATCATGCTTAGTAGGGGTAGAGTTCACATGCGATGTCTAGGAATGTCTCGGGACCGTGCAGTTGACCGAGAGGGAGAAGAAGAAGCACAGGATGCAGGTGTTGACGAGTCAGAAAAGAGGGACCAAGAGGGAGAAGAAGCAGCACAGGATGCGGGTGCTGATGAGTCAGAAAAGAGGAGGATATCCGGTGCGGGCAGCGTGCCGAATGGTTCTGGCTGCGGAAGGGCTGGAGATGTGTGCGTGGTGCAACAGGAAAAGCCTGAGGAAAGAAAGGAGGAGGAGGAAGGAGCAGTGCGCACGGAGAGCCATGCCCGACAAAAGGTAGGCGAAGCGGAGGAGGACGGAAACCAGAGAAGCTGTGCTGCTGTTACTCCAAATTTCCGAAAGCTCAATCTTCCTGTGCCTTCTCCGGAGGACGAGTTTGGCAGCAAGGATGGGCTTGTGGTCGACTACCAAGGTGCGGTAAGACAATTCAATGAGGGAATGAAGTATTTCAAAAGAGCTCTTGAGCGTTACGTTCTTGACGGCTTTGTCACTGATCACTTCTTTATCCTGATGGACATCAGCACAATTCACAAATATCTGGCATATTTCGAGAAGAACGTCAAGCGCTGCAGTCAAATCCACAAAAGGCGAGCAACTCGTCTTGAGGTGCTTGCGGAACAACTCAACCCTGATGCGTACCCCCTGATATGGAAGCAACTGAACACAGAACTCGGTGCGATCTACCGCGAGGTGGCGGAGCGTCTGAGCGAGGTAGACGCCTCTGCCGCAAAGGTGGCAGCTGCAGCACTGCAGTCTGTCACGTTCTACGAGCGTGTCTTCAGCGTTTCTGACGTTGGTAAGATTCAAGAGGATCATCACCGCAATTTGACGATCGCTTTTTCCCTGGCAAGAATGTATCAGAAGCTGCATGGATGCAGCAAGGAGGAGGCGGTGTCCAGTCTTCTTCAGAGAGATGGTGGTGATTCACTTGCGTATCTGAAGAAGAGTCTGGACATGTATAACTTCGTTGTGGAGTATGGCAGCAAGCACTATGTTCAGGGGATGCAGGAACATATTGCCTTGTGCAAGGAGATGGCAGAACTTCTGCCTGCATCCATTGCTGCACAGGCGAGCGGTTACAGACAAGTACAAAGATAGGATGTGTGCGAGTATGCTGGTGATGCTGATGAAGGAGGTGTACCCAATTACACTTTTCCTGGGGGGGGGAGGGGGAGGCAGGGGTGGGGGCGGGGAGGAGGCGTTCCTTCAGTTTCTATTGTTTTTTGTCACCATGTGTGGGGACCACACAGACATGTCTAATTCTTTGTAAAGGGTTCAACGTGACACTGCGAGCGAGGTATGGGGGCCGGGGGGGAACGGAGGATATTGTTGGGCCCCCATTCCTTTAGTTTCTATTGGTTTTTGTCACCATGTGTGGGGACCACACAGACATGTCTAATTGAACTATTTTTTTGTAACGGGTTTAACGTGACACTGCAAGCGAGGTATGGGGGGCCGGGGGGGGAAGGGAGGATATTGTTGGGCCCCCATTCCTTTAGTTTCTATTGGTTTTTGTCACTATGTGTGGGGACCACACAGACATGTCTAATTCTTTGTAACGGGTTTAACGTGACACTGCGAGCGAGGTATGGTGGACAGCGGAAGTTATATGTGCCGGCTGGTGCGCGCAAATGACGTGGGAAGAAGGGTGGACCAAATGCAGACAAAGTGTCCGATGCCCAGGTTGACGTCCCCGCAGGTTGCATCATGTCGGCTGCACAAGTTTCTTTTCTCTACATGGATTTCTTCGTCGATGGTTGGCAGTGTGAAACACGATCGGCACGGCTGTCAGTTTCTGTCGTGGTGTCTTTTGTAGGTGCAGTGTGCACGTGGTTGGCACATTCTCTTCTGCCTCCTGTTTGTTCTGTGTGGAAGGTTAACCAAGGGCGCCCTCTCACAGCCCACCATTGACGAGGAGGTAGTCCCAGCAAGCTGATATCGTGGTGGGGCAAGTCACAGGTCCACGACAGGTCAAAAATAAAAAAGAAGTCACAGGCCGATCACTTGTGCATCGGGCTTCAGATTAGCAATGGCGGTTGAACCCTTTGTGGGTGCTTTGTTATTTCCTTCCTTCCCTTGTTTTTTATTTTTTTTGTTTCCTTCTTTGCTGCCCACAATGCACATTTGGCGTTGATTAATATTTTTCCCGGAAATTTGTGTGGCTCTGCCTTGTGTTCTCTGTAGTGGATGATTTTTTTGCGTGTGTGAGGGTTGATGTGAGACACCCTCAACCCTTGCTTAAATTTTCCAGAAATCGCATGGTGTTTTGCGTGGCTCTGCCTTGTGTTCTGTGTAATGGATGATCTTTTCACGTGCGTGTGTGAGGGTTGATGTGAAACACCCTAAACCTACCCTTGTTGTGTCTGTGACTCTTGAACCCTCCTGGGCAAGCTAACTGCGAGTTTATGTACCGTGACACCTGTTGAGTGCATTGGCTCCCGCCTTTTTTGCGAAAGGCGAGTTGATGTATCGTGACACCTGTGGAGCACATCGGCTAACCGCGAGGCAAGTCCTTTCTTTATTTTCCCCTTCATGCTTCTCCTCCTCCTTGTCCTCCTCTCTCTCCTCCTTTCTCACTGCTCCCCAACTGCTAACTCGGTATCCTCCTCTCAGATCTCCTCCTCCTACTCTTCCTCTTGCTGCTCTACCCCTCCTCTGCCTCCTCCCCTTCTTCTCCCTCCCTCCTCCTCTCCCCCTCCTCTGCATCCTCTCCCTCCTTCCTCCTCTCCCCCTCTTCCGCGTCCTCTCCCTCCTTCCCCTCCTTTCTTCTCCTCCTCTCCCGGCCCTCCTCTCCCCCCCCCCCTCCGCACTATGGAAATACGCATGGCGAATGTAATTCAGTCAGTTTGAAGTGAAAGATACAAGCACCAGTTCTCACATTTGGCGAAGAGGTGAGTGCTGCGTAGCTGGAATCTATTTCAACGCGGCCTCTGCGTTGAAATTTTCAACGAGCGGTGAAACCGCGTTAAATCGGCCGTTGAATGCCAATTTGACAGGTTTCACCGCAGCCCGGGGAAAACGAAAACGGGCCTTTCAGCGCCCGCCCGCACCACACAAAACACCCCCTCCAAGGGACGAACGGCGACCTACAAAAATAAAGAATAAAAAAATGAACCCCCTGGCCCCCCCAAATACCCCCCGCCATCCTTCAAAACGAGACTGTCTTAGCTTTATTAGACACAAGCTATTCCAATGAGCTCGACTCGGTTTCCAAGCCATAAAAGACTGTTTATTTGCAAAAGAGATATCCTTTAGCCTCTTTTTCTTCAAAAATGGATCTCTCTCTCTCCCCAAAGACATTGGACACCACTCCGCGACCCTTCGACCCTTCCGCCCTTCTGCCCTGACAAGGTGCTCTGCCACCCAACAGCCCCCGCACCCCGTATCACCCATGTAACACACACCAGCACCCCCCGCCGTGAGGGCGGGGGGTATTTGGGGGGGCCAGGATGTTCAATTTTTTTATGTTTTATGTTTGTTCAGAGTGTGAGGGTTTGGTCGCCCAAGTGTCCTATGCCGTGGGGACTGGTCACGTTGATTTCAAACCGCCGGGAAGACCCCCATTTTGGTTTCAACGGGAATTCAACGCGGTTCCCCTGGGGTTCAACGAGGTTCAGCGGCCGTTCAATACCTCGCCCGGGGACTGGTCACCCTGAACATGTTACTCAGGGTGCGTGTGTCCGAGCCTAGCTTTGCATGGCAAGCTAAACTCTGGACGGCAATGCGTCCCGTTCATTCTGCGATTGGTTTGGGCACACTTTAACGCTGGAGCAGTCGAAGAAAGAGGAGCGTCCTGTGAAGTTGTGCCCCGGAACTGCGGCTGACATATTCCCTGAATAGTTGGAACTTGGAAATTTGGGAATTCGCCTTGCGTTTTTTCCATTCGAGAGAAAATTAAGGGGACCCCATTCAGTCTTGGGCCTTGTCTATGAATTGCCTTGAAAGCAGAGCTGAATTTCCCACTGGCAGTACGCACTCAGCAAAGGAATGTTGTGGTCCCTCTGGCTTTACCTACGCATGCAAATTAGACGCCGAGTTTTTAGAGGTTCCGAACTCGGCGTCAACTTATTTACTACTACTACCAGCATGATCAATCCAAGAACTGCCCAGCCTGGTCATGCTAGTAATAGTAGTAAATAACTTGGTTTCCTTTTTTTTTTTTTTTTTTTTTTAAGTTTCCTGACACGATGCAAATGCAAATGGATTAGTATGTACCTTGCCTTAGGGATGCAAGATGATGTGCTGTAGCCAAAGGCTGGACAGTGGTGGTCCCCCACTCTCCCGGGTTGATTGAAAAAAAAAGAGAGGTTCCCCGTCGTCGAGGTGTTGTGTTGTAATGAATGATCCCGTGTGTAAACTTACCCGTACATGGGTTCAGCTCACTTGAGAATCCCAATTGACCAATCCAAAAAGTTCGGAGGCTCAGGCCATCTGGACTGAAAGGGTTGGCGGTGCCTACCAAAACAAAACAAAAAAAAAAAAACCGAAAACGCTGCACTGGCGGTTTGGCAATGCCTGGCACGCAGCGGTGTCCGAGGCTCATGAAATTTTCCTTGGATGTACTCGTATTTTTCATTCATCTTTAAAGGACGAAGAGACCTGAGCTCTAGCTGGATCTGATGGTGCGCTGCAACTGGCCTCGCCACCGCCACCGCCACCACACGCTGTGTGTGCTGAGCCTTCGCTTATATCATGTCTCCTGCCTGCTTGTATCGACTTGAGTGGAAGGAACCGCAGAAAAGGGAGATGCCTCAGGCTGAAGGTGTGCTGAGATCTATTTATAGACTGCATCCAGAACAGGGGAAAATGGACGGAGGACAGGGAAGACGGTATCCAGGTGCTCTCGTCTGGCGATTCGCTTGCAGCATGGTTAGAAGAGAAGCAGAACAAGAATGCGGAGAGACAACAAAAAGACTAGTTAAAGAAAGCTGGAGAGGGACAAGAGCAATTATGAACGAGATTCAAACACAAAGGGTACAAGGTCTATCACTTGGTCTGAATCACGTCATCGGTGCAGTGCAACAAGTCTCTGCACCTCACCTGAGAAGGCATGAGGACGTACAGATTGATAGACAAGACACACGAAAGAAACGTTGTTAGAAGAAACGTTCTTCGCCTTGCTTCGTTTCTTTACTGGTGGGTGCAGTAGAATGACATTGTACCCATGAGCTGAAGGCTTTTGGGGGGGGAGAAGCAAAGTTCTACAGGTACTGCGGTCACCTCCACAGCAAATTGAACAAGGGGCCAAGGGGGTATTAAATAATAGTAATACTAGTAGACAGAAAAGTTGAAGAAACTTTGTGAGAGTATGTCATCATAATCCCATTGCAAGTCGCTCGGAAAAGTCTTCGCCTGAGTCTTTTCCGAGGTAGAATATATACATACATATATACTCCGACAAAACAGTTTGTCACAGCCCCTCGTTTGTTGTCCTCTTCTCCCTCTCTGCCTGCGCGGGCAGCTCTGTTTACATATCTACATATCCATATAGATATAATGCTCATCAGCCCCAGGCCATGTGAGAGCCCGCCGTGGCCTTTTTTTACCCGTCTGATCCTGGATCTGGCAAGTGCGATTCAGCCTCAAACGCTTTCTTTCGCCGCCACCTGGTGGTGTGTTGGGCAGACAACTGGGTACAGTGGATAGTCTGCCTGGTCGACAAATGCGCCACTGAGCTTTGATAGCTTTTGCGAATGCCAGAAATATCAAAAATATCAGAGAGAGCGTCAGAGTGTGTCCGGGAATGGGAGCCATTGTCAGGGATCGTGTTGGACTAGTGAGCTTTTGCCACGATTAACGTTGTGCATAAACAAATGTAGTCGCATGTTCAGTTTGGTTCAGCGAGAAGAAAAAGACCAAAAAGTGTATAGAATCTATAGATGGTTAAATTTAAAAAACAAACCATGTCAATGATTGTCGGACACTTACTCTCACATGTTCTGACAGCGTTTCCACATGCGCTACGCTGCCCGCCCCTTTTCTTAACCCCAAAGCGCCAAAGGAAAACTTTTTGGAGCCCGCCGTACTTGTACTGCAGCTTTCAATGGGGGGAATCCGTCCGAGAAAAATCTACAGTGACAAGGCACTTGGAGAGGTGATTTAAACCACCACTAGTTGGCCCCTCGGTCGTGGAAAAATTAGAGCAGAAACGTTTCTACTTGGATGGATTTGGGCACTCAGCTCCCATAGATGCTCATACATTTCCTAAAATTGTGGCTTTGTTAACGGGGCATGTCTTTAGGAAGTACTGGTGGTTTCAGGTGAGTGGGTAGCTCACACTTGAGACAAGGGTGTAGTTAGCTCACGCTTGAGAATGAAGGGGGTTTATTTTGTTGTTCCCCTTCTAAAAGTGCTAGTTAGGGGGCAGGGTCCTTACCATACATTGTATTTTTTCATAGTTGGAGTTGTGTGGTTCTGTTTTTGTGATTGTTGTATGATAAATTTGATAATAGCATTGTCCACAGCTGACAGCGTGGGAGAGTTCAACGCACGAATCAGATGCACGAGCGGCAGGAGGGTGGTGAAGACTATTCAATGTCGGACAAAAACAAAACAAAGTTTAACAAACAAAAAACATACGGCCGAGGGGTACAAAGCTGATTACACCTGCTGTTTGGAATGAAGTTCCGTCCATGTTTGGAATGAAATTTCGTCCATTCGGTCAAGAATAGTGCGCCGTGGAGGTGTGTAGCTGATCAAACTGTTAGTTTCTTTCTTTCTTTTTCTTTCTTTCTTTCTCTTTTTAATTCCAGATCATAGTAGAAGCTGGATGCTAGGCCTCGGGAGGTGGCCGCCGTTGTACTCAAGGGGAGATCAGATGGCCTGTGACAGCCCCCCAAGTTCAAGCATGGGTTTGTTGCCAGGTTGTTGGGCCTAAGTCCTGACTGTCGGACTGTCGGGGGCACAGAGAGAGAGAGAGAGAGAGAGAGAGAGAGAGAGAGAGAGAGAGAGATTTGATGGAAAAGTTAGGAAAACAATAAAGTTTGTCATTTTTTAGCACGGGAGTTTGTTTGTGCGTAGGAGTGTGCTGATCGCTGAGAAGACACCCTCGCGCTTTGAAGTACTACGACAACAAGGGCAAGGGCACAACAATAGGCACAAGGGCAAACCAGCAAGTACAAGGGCAAGGACATGGGGAAGGGCGAACCAGCAAAGAATTCTTTAGTTGCCATACACTTCCATACATTCCGTGTAATTAACACCTACCCGTTTCTTTCAGAATCTTCTAGTCATCACCTTCTTGCCGCCCCCCCCCGGCTCCCTCTACGCCTCCCTAATCAACGCCTCCCCCGTTCCTTCACGCACAGGCACAAGTGAGAGCTGCAAAAACGTCCGTACGAAAGGGCAAAAAGACAGTTAAAAAAAAAAAAAAAAGACAGTAAAAATATTCTCTTGCTGGTCAGACCTGTTTCTTCCAGAAGCTTCTGATCGTCACCTTCGCCCCCGCTCCCCCTCCCTCTTCTCCCATCACCACCTCCTCCCTCTTCTCCCATCAACTCCTCTCCCTTTCAACTTGCTGCGTGCTGCGTCTCACCCTTCTCCTGCCAATTTAGAATGCAACATCATCGATCAACGACCAACAATCTAGTACTGTCTTCGCCCGAATAGAATGCAGGTTCTTCAAAAAAAAAAAGAAAAGAAAAAAAAAAAGGAAAAGGAAAGAATGCCCCAGTCATTCTAGCCGCACCGTATTTAGGGGAACTTCGGGCATCGCCACACCACTCTCGAAATATGCAGAATGAGAATGAACTTCCTGCTAGAACATGGCCAGATGCACCCGCCGATTTTTTGTCTTTTCCACATTTGGAGAGTGGTGTGGCGAGGCCCTTAGTCTAGGTGCAGCGATAATCACTGGGCGAGCCACCACGCCAAGGAACGAGATTTTCCGACAGGGAAAGAGCAAGGAGCATACTCTACACTTTCCCAAAAAAAAAAAAAACTTTACACTTTGTTACTTATCCATACACACAAACAAAGGAACTCTCTCTCTCTCTCTCTCTCTCTCTCTCTCTCTCTCTCTGTATCCGACTCCAACGTCAAACAACGGAAGGAAAAAATAAGAAAAAGACAGGCAGACTATATCCCCCCCCTGGGCCCCTACCCTCTTTTTAATGACAAATGGTGCCGCCGCTGCAAGGCAAGCAAAAGCCGAAAAATTTTGCCACCAAGCAGCTCCCTACGCTTCCCTTCTCCAACTGTCTTTTTTCGTTAATAAAACGCCAAAGGTAGCAAACGAAAAATCACCCATGAAGAGTAAAAAATCGATGGTCCGTCTCTTTAGTCCTTCCTTACCCTGGGCCATCTGCAAGAACACCACGGGTGAGATTAAGTTTTAACCTTTCACTCCTCCCCCTCTTCCCTCCCCCTCCTCCTCCCCCACTCTTCTTTCGGTCCTCCAATTGCTCTTTTTCTCTCAAAGAACGGCAAAGTGAACAACTAAGACGGCGCCAACGCAGAACAGAATAATCGAAAGCCGACCTCCCTAATTCTTCCTTAGTATCCCTACTCTGCGCGATCTGCAACATCAAGCAGTCTGAACTTCATTTCCCCCCTTTTCTGCTCATCCCCACCTTCCTCCTCCACCGCCTCTCCTCCTCCCATTTCCTCCTCCTCCCCCCGTTCTCCCATTACATTTTTCAACTCAAAGCAGAGTAGAGGGAACGACCAGGTCATCGCCAACCGACAGTAGACTCGAACACCAACCTCATACTCTGCGCGATCTGCAACATCCCCACAGTCTGAACTTCATTTTTCCCCTTTTCTCCTCAACCCCACCTTCCTCCTCCCTCCCCTCTCCTCCTCCCATTTCCCCATTTCCTCCACCTCCCCTTCTCCCATTGCATTTTTCCACTCAAAGCACGATAGAGGGAACAACCAGGTCATCACCAACCGACAGTAGACTCGAACACCAACCTCCCCGGTCCTTAACGTCCTTAACCTGGGCCCTCTGCAAGGACCACAGCTGCACTTTCTTTTGTCGCTTTCTCCTCCTCCTCCTGCTCCTCCTTCCCCTTCTTCTCCTCTTCCTTCTCCTCCTCTTCTTTCCCCTTCTCCTCCTGCTGCTGCTGCTGTTGCTGCTGTTGAGCAGCAGCAGCAGCAGCAGCAGCATTGGCAGCAGCTAGGGCGATCTTCAGTTCCGCCTGCAATGACCTGCATAAACTTTCAAGCCTCTCTTTCTGTGCTCTAAGCGTATCCATCTGCTTCGTCTGCGTCGCTCTTTCCTCAAGCAGCTGAATGATCGTTACATCGCTTTTGCCACACTTGGCCTTGAGCGCGCTGTTCTCCTTCTCCAGCTTCCGGATCGTCTTCGACATCTTATCCATTTCCAACTTGAACGTCGCAAACACCTCGTTACTCTTCGTCAGAGTCTCTTGGAACTGCTCAAACTTCCCTCCGTAGGTTGACAGCTGGCCTCTGAGTTCCGCTTCCGACTTCAGCATGCTTGTGATCTGCTCCTTGAGCAGCTTCACCTTCTCCTCCTCCTGCTTCGTGGTTTCGTTCTGCTGGGTAAGCTTGGCGTGCAGCAGTTGCAATTCCAACGCCTTGGTCTTCAGCTGATGTTGGAAGTGCTCCTCTCGTATCTCGTACTTCTGCGTGAACTGGGTCAGTTTTTCCCTAAGGGCCTCGTTCTCCCTGATTTGTCGGATGCGCTCTTCGCCTTGCTCCTCCAGCTTCACCGTGATCTCCTGGATGGTACTCTGAAATCGGCCCGCGAGTTCTTCTCGCCGCTGCTGCTCCTCCGTTGCCACCCTCCTGCTGTCTTCCATCACTAGCTTGTTTTGTCTCTGCAGCTCTCTGCACAGCGACTCCAGCTTCTGCTTCACCGCCTGGCCCTTCGTCGCCTCTGCGCTCAGCGTGTCCTTCTCCTTCCTCAGCAAATCGCACTTGCGCCGCAGTAACGCCATCTCTCTGTCTAATTGCTTCGTCTCATTCACCTGTTCAACGTACTTGGCGCGCAGCACTTTCAGCTTTTCCTCGGCGGAACTCTCCGTGGACTCCATCAATGCCTTGAGATCTCGGCCTTGCCGCCTCAGCGCCTTGCTCCTCTGTCTGCTCACCTCATCCACCTCCCCCCCCCCGGCTGCTCCTCCCCTGCTTTTCTCACTTAACAAGGTTTCCAGCTGTGCAATTTTCGATTCCAGCACATCATGCAGCCGGGACGAGATGACGTGTTCATCCTTCCCCGTGCCACGTGCCATCGTCGAGGAGGAGCGCTCTCCTTCTCCCCCTCCTCTACCTGCGCCCGCGCGCGCACCTTCATCCTGCCCAGTCGTCACAGCAGTGGAATCTTCTTCCTCCTCTTCTTGTGCTGGTGATTGATCGTCCATCGTCGGTGCTGCGCGGCCCGCATGAGCCGCCGCCACATGGCATGCTGGCTTTGTCCGCCGCCCATCTTCTTGCTCTCTCGCCTGCGCCTCACTCCCCTCCTCCTCCTCCTCCTCCTCCTCCTCCCCCTCTACCCCATCCCTTTCCCTACCAATCTCTGAGTCCACCCCTCCATTTCCGCCTCCTGTGCGCCGCTCCCCATCCACCAAATTGTCCATAGCCGTCAGACAACTCGCTGAGTCCTCTCCGCTCGACGATTCTGCCATCAACGCTGCCGACTGACTGCTGATCCGCGCTGCCAGGTCAGAGCCAGGCTTGTCCGACAGCTGGCCACGTGGCGTTACATCCTCCTTTCCCGCCCTTTTCGGCGGCGTCAAGGCTGAGGCCCCCTCGTTTGCTCCTGCATCCTCCATCACCCTGTCGATCACAGGAAAAAAGGAGATCAACCCCTCCCTCCCTCCTCCAATCAACCAATTCACTGACGAGCTGATAAGCAGGTTGATCGACTGCTGGAGTACTTCAGATCCAGCTAGTTAATAAATTAATTAATGGGCCACGCTGGTGGTAGAGGAGAGATGAGAAAGCTAATCAGCATCCAATCTGCTTCTTCGCAGTTGCTATTCGCCAGTGGGAGTTGTCGCAAGTGGTGTTGTCATGTGAGTCGTAACGGTGGGCGTGCATCTTGGAGCATTTCCTGAAGGGCAAAAGTCAGAGAAGAAACCAAGCAAAACGCGTCAGAATCACTTCGTGGACAATATGGCAATCTCTCTCTCTCTCTCTCTCTCTCTCTCTCTCTCTCTCTCTCTCTCTCTC